AATAAATCTGGTACTTATAATTAAGAACCATTGAAATAATGATTATACAAGCAAGACCACAATAATAGTATCAGTAGTGAAAATAGATACAATGGCAACAACGGTAACCATGGAAGAAAAGCAGTAGCACTGACGAAGCAGAAGCAAAAATGATCTGAAATCATTCGGATTCTGTTTGTTTGTTTCTTTGATGTTTAACGCCGCACTCGGCAATATTCCAGCTGTGTGACGGCGATCTGTAATTAATAGAGTTTGCACCAGACAATCATGAGCATCGATCTCCACATGTGGGATACGATGACGTCCATCAACCTAGTCAGCAAGTCTGACCACCCGATCCCATTTGTCGCCTCTTACGACAAGCATATTCGCCTTTTACGGCAGGCATGGGTTGCTTGAAATCACATATATGTATCTTGATGTTCCTGACCACTCCTTAGATTAGGAAACACCCAGCAGGCAGGGAAGATTTCTCACGCCAGCGACACTTCGGCCACTCCTAGAGATGTAACACTGGCGAGACGCGTGGTTAATGATATCAGGAGAAATGGTCAGATGTGTTTCTTTCAAAATTCCTTCAAAATACCCCAAGTAGGCCGAGATCATCGTTTGGGATGATTTTTATAACCACTATATCACCTAGAATTTCATGTCACTCGAGACAAGAACCTGAGTCCATCGCAGCCTGATTGAGCCATTACCGGCATTCGGTGAACGAGCGAGGCCGTCCGCCATTTTTGGTGTTTTTTTCTGGGGGCATTATATGTGACGTTGCTTGCGGCCGTGGTTGTGCCGGAGTGGCAAACAAAGCTCACGTGGACGTCATGCACAGCTCGCGGGGTTCGGGTATTAGCTTCATTGTTGGGTGATTGTTTGCGGTGGGGCAGCGAGAGGTTTGATCTCGCACCATCTCCCCGGAGTGTGACCTCCGCTCGCCTGGCGCCTACTCATACCTGCGTCATTAGACATACATGATACTCTCTCACAACGTCTCACGCCAACTCTCGCGAGACCCCCAGGCTTCCCGCGTTGTAATTAGGCCTCTCAGTGTATTAACCCGAAGTTATCTGCCCCTTTTCCTCAGCGGTTGAACTTTTGGATCGTGCTTTCTTACAAAGGCTGCGTTCATCAATCTCAACATTCCATAACAAGGCGGCCTTTGTCTATTTCGGTTAGCGGTTGTCGGAGTCTACACCAAGCACAATATCCACTGACACGAGCTGACAAACATGAGACCAGATTCAAAGGAAATAAATATTATGACACCTTCAAAAAACACCATCTTGTGAATTATGCGAAAGTACGTTACAACACTTACTGCTGTTGTCGATACTTGTCATGTGTGGAAGAAGTCTTGTTCACAATATTACTTTATTTGTCGTATATGGATTAGGCTATTAAAGGCATCTTGACAATCTTCATGTGTTTAAAGAGAGTCATTGAAAATAAATAAATCATCTGAGGAACTTCAAAGTGCGGTTTTATAGGGCAAACGTCACTTGGAGAAATTATTTTGTTTTCAAACGTTTGGGAACTACTGTCCTTCATGTTTCGAAAAAATACAGTATTTACATCAAACACAATTTGAAAGCAAAGTTTGCATTACTGAATACGATCCCCACACGCCACTAATCCAACCTTACTTAACAGCTTGACTGATATTAATGGCAGTACTTGTAATCTTTGAAGGTTTTTGTTCTGTTGTGCATGGACAATGTTCATTGTTAAACTGAAGTGACACTGTCTTCCGTTGTGAGTATATCGGTGCGGAAACATCAGCAATTATAAACACAACAAGAACTAAGGTGACCTCGGCCAAGTTCCCAGGGTTTCTGTCATGACAGTCTTCACAAACATGTGTTGCGATTCCTGTAAAGATCCGGGTTAGAATTTGTCTTCAGCAACCGATGCTTGTCCCCCGTGAGGATCCTGGTTAGAATTGGTCTCCAGCAACCCATGCTTGTCCCCCGTGAAGATCCGGGTGAGAATTGGTCTTCATCAACCCATGCACGTCCCCCGTGCAGATACGGGTTAGAATTGGTCTCCAGCAACCCATGCTTGTCCCCCGTGAAGATCCGGTTGAGAATTGGTCTCCATCAACCCATGCATGTCCCCCGTGCATATCTGGGTTAGAATTGGCCTCCAGCAACCGATGCTTGTCCTCCGTGAAGATCAGGGTTAGAATTGGTCTTCAGGAACCCAAATGCTTGGCATAAGCGACGACAAGCGGGATCGGGTGGTCAGGCTCGCTGACTTAGTTGATGCACGTCATCGTTTCCCAATCGATAGTTATGATGTCAATCACTGGAATGTCTGGCCCATATTCGATTATTTACAGACCGCCGTCACACAGCCGGAATATTGCTGTATGCGGCTTAAATAACATGCAAACAAATGGGCGGTGGAATACATGCGTGCCATCACAGAGATGTGGATCCACACCTGTCCGTGCGGTGTGGCGATGGAATGATCCAAAGACGACACGTGGTATGTGAGTGAGTGAGTGACTTGGGTTCTAAGCTTCGTGGAACAGTATTTCCGTTACATCACGGCGTGTCAGCTTAATTTGGGAGGAAAGGCCGAAGTGATGCAGGTCTCAGACGTTTACCACTTAGGTGAAACCCACGAGCACGGGTATGGTGCTGACAAACCTAGAAACATAATTGGGGTGAACCGGGATTCGAACCCACAATCATAGGTTTCTGGCGGGTCCAAGGGACGCAACTCTGCACAGCGAATCCGTGCCCCCGGTATGTTGATGAAAGTCGTAGAAACATAATCACGGCGAACCAGGATTCGAACCCATTATCATAGGTTTCTAGTAAGTCTAGTAGTAGTAGTAGTAGTAGTAGTAGTAGTAGTAGTAGTAGTAGTAGTAGTAGTAGTAGTAATAGTGGTGGTAGAAGAGGTTGTGGTTGTAGTAGTAGCAGTAGTCATGGCAGGGATAACAGTAATGGCAGTTGTAGCAGTGGTAGTGGTGGTGGTCGTAGTACCCGGAAAACCCCACCAGAGGGCGCCGTGGTTTTCACGACTACCGTATGTCGTTAGTGCTGGTGATTACTGTCAGTGGGCGCACCTCAACTCACCCGCAACACTGTCGTGACCCGAATCAATTAACCTCCACGTACCTTTGTAATTAACCGTCATTTACAAACAAAGGACCGCGACAGCACACTGTTAAGGCGCGGAAGCAAACGGTTATTCTTTTCCGGCAACTCGTTTGTGACAAACACGGACCAAAATATGCCTCAAACTATTTCCGTAACATAACCACATACGGCACTTGTCGTCACGTGATAGGAAAAGCGTAGCGTGATACTGCGAGACTTCCGGTGGGACATGTAAACGGAAGTGGGCATGTGGAGCCTATGGAGGAATTAGCTACTCTCCCGCGCTAGGTTTTGAATAACTGAACTACATTAGAACAAGTATGCACGTGCTTCACTTACCCCGTGTAGACTGTGGTTGCCAGCGCCATCTGATGGCTGAAGGAATAAAGACATTCTAACGCCGCTTTATTTCAACATTTCCTATTGCTTCGGATAAAGGCCAGATCAATCGGCTTCTTATTGCGCTTTATAAAGAGCAACTATAATGACAGGATTAAAGACACTGCAATCAGTCAACCGACGCAGGCAGTGAAATCGTTGCGCCAAGTTTACCATAAAGAAAATGCTACTTTGGCATCTTACAACAGTGAAAAGAAGTGTGACTGATTGAATGTGATTTGCGCGTGATCACGGTATGGCGGGGCAATCGATCAAGTCTAACAAGCATGTACCGTAAAACCTTGTGTACAGATATATGTTAAAGAGCATGACCATTGTTAATACGTTTTACGTGAACAAGCAATCTGTGTTCATACCTCCTCTTATTTGAAAGGAGTTATTGATTGTTATGGTAATAACAATTCTATTAAGTTAGACCGGCTCTTGTAAGTTAGTCCGGCTCTTGAAAGTCGAGTTAAGTCTTTCCGGGACCACTGAAGTGTACGGCGACTGATTGTGACAACAGCATTTCACAGCAAAGCGCTGGCTTACGCTGGCAGTTCCATGATAAAAGCTGGTACTGATTCACAGCTAATGTTACAATTAATACGTTTTTAATATATTTTCTGACAATGAATGTATGTGACAGTTTGAACTAAGTACTAAATAAAACGAAACGTGTGTTGCGAGGAACCGAGTCTTTTGTAAATAGAAGCGACAAATCCATTCACATTATCAAAAGCAATATCTGCTGAAATCAGTCTTGAATGCACCAACGACATCATAATCATGTGCTTATGAATCACTATCAAATAGTGAAGATATCAGGTGCTCGTGAATAGGCAGCGTATCCTTCCACACCGGTGGCAACCGTCACACACACATGCAAAGGCAAGTCAACTATTCACCTAAAAGAAACACGGGGAATTGCATCGGACGTCATTTTTTTCACTGATTCATTGAATTTGGAAACGGCATAAACATGTCTACCAGAAAACCTTTCGAGAGTTTTACTGACGCCATGACTGTTGTAACCCTGATCAACGTTTGAGCAAGGGTCGTATGACGCTCTTTGAAATCTTGGTCGAAAGAGCATGCTCGATTGTACCTCAAAAGGTGTGACATGTAGACACCACAAGCTGGAGCAGCTTCTTTTTCCCCTTTTATTTTCTAAAAGTGTGTAAATATGCAAACCTGAATACCAAGACGGGACCCGTGAAGATCCGGGGTAGAATAGGTCTTCAGCAACCCATGCTTGCCGCAAAAGGTGACTATGCTTGTCGTCAGAGGCGATTAATGGGATCGGCTGGTCAGGCTCGCTGACTTGGTCATCGTATCCCAATTGCATGGATCGATGCTCATGATGTCGATCACTGGATTGTCTGGTCCAGATACGATTATTTACAGATATTCCGTCATATAGCTGGACTATTGCTGAGTGCGGCGTTAAACAACAACCAAACAACCAAACAAACAACCAAACAAACTAAGACGGGTATTTGTTTGTTGCAGGTGGAATGTCTCTCTGTCTATGGAAGGTCTGTCCCGCTGCACCTTGGCTTGTGTCGAAAAAGAGCGTCGGAAAATGAGCATCACGTGCCCTACCCGAGACATCGTCGTGCACCACGTAACAGTGGCGTGGCACATCATCCCTCAATCACGGTTAAGAATGGCAGATTGGAGAAATTGGACAACAGCTTAGCATCAGGAAAATACTATCTGTCGTTTCGGTTGATGTTTTGGACACTATATAAGATACTATTTTCCTATCCTGTCACGGGACTTTGTGCGAGCTCATCTCTCGCTCTGATGGCCTTACAAATAAATCTCTGATCCCCATACTTCCTTCCTGGTCTCAACATGCGTGCGTGCGTGCGTGTATGCGTGAGCGGCTATTTGGCTGGTAAGAAATAAAGTGTGATACATATTTTAAGTAGCTTTACTCTTGTTCATCCAGTTCTTTGAGAGAGTTCACACCTCATACACTTCAGAGGAGAGAAACATTTACTGATGCTAATAAGTTACGCAACCATCTCAGAGTGATTGGATGGAGACCAACATGTCTTAACCTCTGTCATGATGAGACACTGTATAAAATTGTATCCAATGAATAGTGCCCTTCGTGAGATGACTCTGTAATGGTTGCGTAACTTACGACTTCCGTATATTCTCATATTAATTATTTCATCAGTGTTGACCAGATACATGGTGATTATTATTGTGTATGCCACGGAGTGATATATTCATGCACACACAGTGTACAGCAAGAACACGAACATAAAGCTATGGCGCATGGTTTAAGTTGGGATTCGAACCGAATTCTGCCAACCGAATTTGGGGTTGAGGATTTATGGCATAAAGGACACGTCAGTCGTTGCGGAGGTATTCACTGGTTCATTGTGTTCACAGGAGTCACCAGCATTAATGGTTCTTTTGAATTCATTTAATTTATGACCAGAACCAGAACCAACATGTCACACTGAAGGCAAACAAACTTTCCCACACATTGACGGGCACCTGTTCTACACTTCCATTTCATCACCACACATTGACGGGCAAGTGTTCTACACCACCATTTCATCACCACACATTGACAGGCAACTGTTCTACACCACCATTTTACCACCACACATTGACGGGCACCTGTTCTATACCACAATTTTAACACCACACATTGACGGGCAACTGTTGTATACTACCATTTAACCACCACACACTGACGGGCAACTGTTCTACACTACCATTTTACCACCACACATTGACGGGCACCTGTTCTATACCACAATTTTAACACCACACATTGACAGGCAACTGTTCTATACCACAATTTAACCACACCACATTGACGGGCAACTGTTCTACACTACCATTTCATCACCACACATTGACGGGCAACTGTTCTGTACTACAATTTTACCACCACATATTGACGGGCAACTGTTCTACACTACCATTTTACCACCACACATTGACGGGCAACTGTTCTGTACTACAATTTCATAACCACACATTGACGGACAACTGTTCTACTTCAACATTTTACCACCACCACACATTGACGGGCAACTGTTCTATACCACAATTTTACCACCACACATTGACGGGCACCTGTTCTATACTACAATTTCATCACCACACACTGACGGGTAACTGTTCTACACTACCATTTTACCACCACACATTGACGGGCACCTGTTCTATACCACAATTATACCACCACACATTGACGGGCAACTGTTCTACACTACCATTTACCACCACCACACATTGACGGGCAACTGTTCTACACCACCATTTCATCACCACACATTGACGGGCAACTGTTCTTCACTACCATTTTACCACCACACATTGACGGGCACCTGTTCTATACCACAATTGTACCACCACACATTGAAGGGCAACTGTTCTACACCGCCATTTCATCACCACACATTGACAGGCAACTGTTCCAAACCTCCATTTTACCAAAGCACATTGACGGCCACCTATTTTACACCTCCATTTTACCACAGAACATTGACAGGCAACTGTTCCACGCCTCCATTTTACCCAAGCACATTGACGGGAAACTGTGCGACACTACCATTTTTCAACCACACATTGACAGACAACTGTTCTACGCCACCATTTTACCTCCACACAATGACGGGCAACTGTTCTACGCCACCATTTCATCACCACACATTGACGGGCAACTGTTCTACGCCACCATTTTACCACCACACATTGACGTACAACTGGTCCATACCACCATTTCACCACCACACATTGACGGGGAACTGTTCTACGCCACCATTTTACCACCATACATTGACGTACAACTGGTCCATACCACCATTTCATCACCACACATTGACGGGGAACTGTTCTACGCCACCATTTAACCACCACACATTGACGGGCAACTGTTCTACAATACCATTTTACCACCACACATTGACGGGCAACTGTTCTACGCCACCATTTAACCACCACACATTGACGGGCAACTGTTCTACAATACCATTTTACCACCACACATTGACGGGCAACTGTTCTACGCCACCATTTAACCACCACACATTGACGGGCAACTGTTCTACAATACCATTTTACCACCACACATTGACGGGCAACTGTTCTATACTACAATTTCATCACCATACATTGACAGGCACCTGTTCTACCCTTCCATTTCATCACCACACATTGACGGGCAACTGTTCTAGACCACCATTTCATCAACACCTATTCACGGGCAACTGTGCTACACTACCATTTTACCACCATTGACGGGCACCTGTTCTAAACCACAATTTAACCACAACACATTGACGGGCAACTGTTCTACACCACCATTTCATCACCACACATTGACGGGCAACTGTTCTACACCACAATTTTACCACCACACATTGATGGGCACCTGTTCTATACCACAAATGTACCACCACACATTGAAGGGCAACTGTTCTACACCGCCATTTCATCACCACACATTGACGGGCAACTGTTCCAAACCTCCATTTTACCAAAGCACATTGACGGGCAACTGTTCTATACTACTATTTCATCATCACTCATTGACGGGCAACTGTTCTACACCACCATTTTACCACCACCACACATTGACGGGCACCTGTTCTATACATAATTGTACCACAACACATTGACGGGCAACCGTTCTATACTACAACTTCATCACCACACATTGACGGGCAACTATTCTACACTACCATTTGACCACAACACATTGACGGGCACCTGTTCTATACCACCATTGTACCACCACACATTGACGGGCAACTGTTCTACACTACCATTTAACCACAACACATTGACTGGCAACTGTTCTATACTACAATTTCATCACCATACATTGACAGGCACCTGTTCTACCCTTCCATTTCACCACCACACATTGACGGGCAACTGTTCTACACCACCATTGTACCACCACACATTGACGGGCAACTGTTCTACACTACCATTTAACCACAACACATTGACTGGCAACTGTTCTATACTACAATTTCATCACCATACATTGACAGGCATCTGTTCTACCCTTCCATTTCATCACCACACATTGACGGGCAACTGTTCTAGACCACCATTTCATCAACACCTATTCACGGGCAACTGTCCTACACTACCATTTTACCACCATTGACGGGCACCTGTTCTAAACCACAATTTAACCACAACACATTGACGGGCAACTGTTCTACACCACCATTTCATCACCACACATTGACGGTCAACTGTTCTACACCACAATTTTACCACCACACATTGATGGGCACCTGTTCTATACCACAAATGTACCACCACACATTGAAGGGCAACTGTTCTACACCGCCATTTCATCACCACACATTGACGGGCAACTGTTCCAAACCTCCATTTTACCAAAGCACATTGACGGGCAACTGTTCTACACCACCATTTTACCACCACCACACATTGACGGGCACCTGTTCTATACATAATTGTACCACAACACATTGACGGGCAACCGTTCTATACTACAACTTCATCACCACACATTGACGGGCAACTATTCTACACTACCATTTGACCACAACACATTGACGGGCACCTGTTCTATACCACCATTGTACCACCACACATTGACGGGCAACTGTTCTACACTACCATTTAACCACAACACATTGACTGGCAACTGTTCTACACTACAATTTCATCACCACACATTGACGGGCAACTGTTCTACACCACCATTTTACCACCACACATTGACGGGCAACTGTTCTGTACTACAATTTCATCACCACACATTGACGGGCAACTGTTCTGTACTACAATTTCATCACCACACATTGACGGGCAACTGTTCTGTACTACAATTTCATCACCACACACTGACGGGCAACTGTTCTACACCAACATTTTACCACCACCACACATTGACGGGCACCTGTTCTATACCACAATTTTACCACCACACATTGACGGGCAACTGTTCTTTACTACAATTTCATCACCACACATTGACGGGCAACTGTTCTGTACTACAATTTCATCACCACACATTGACGGGCAACTGTTCTACACTACCATTTGACCACCACACATTCACGGGCACCTGTTCTATACCACAATCTAACCACAACACATTGACAGACAACTGTTCTACACTCCCATTTCATCACCACACATTGACGGGCAACTGTTCTGTACTACAATTTCATCACCAAACATTGACGGGCAACTGTTCTACACCACCATTTTACCACCACCACACATTGACGGGCACCTGTTCTATACCACAATTTTACCACCACACATTGACGGGCAACTGTTCTATACTACAATTTCATCACCACACATTGACGGGCAACTGTTCTACACTACCATTTGACCACCACACATTGACGGGCACCTGTTCTATACCACAATTATACCACCACACATTGACTGACAACTGTTCTACACTACCATTTCATCACCACACATTGACGGGCAACTGTCCTACACTACCATTTACCACCACCACACATTGACGGGCAAGTGTTCTACACTACCATTTTACCACCACAACACATTGACGGGCAACTGTTCTACACCACCATTTCATCACCACACATTGACGGGCAACTGTTCTACACTACCATTTTACCACCACACATTGACGGGCACCTGTTCTATACCATAATTGTACCACCACTCATTGAAGGGCAACTGTTCTACACCGCCATTTCATCATCACACATTGACAGGCAACTGTTCCAAACCTCCATTTTACCAAAGCACATTGACAGGCCACCTATTCTACACCTCAATTTTACCACCGAACATTGACAGGCAACTGTTCCACGCCTCCATTTTACCAAAGCACATTGACGGGAAACTATTCTACACTACAATTTTACCACCACACATTGACAGACAACTGTTCGACACTACCATTTTTCCACCACACAATGA